TCATTACACATTCCTTCGTTTCTTCAATTTTTGAAGGATAATCAAGTGCGTGGCGCATTCTGAGGGTGAGATTTATCAAGTATTTTATATTGATCTTTTTAACTTGCAGTTGTTTCGCAACTCTCTTGTCAGTTTTCAAGAGCCTCCTCTCAAATAAGGGCTTCAAAATAGTTAGAGCTCAGAAAATCTGCTACCGATGCTGATACGCCTCCACTCTGAGCCAGGTGTCTCAAAAGTCACGCATAATGCCGCTTGTAGATAAGGCACAATGCCAGAGTCCGGCAAATCGATCAGTGATCTCTTCGGACGTTTAATGGCTCTATTATATTGATGTGCAACGTGGGTGGTCTAGGTGTTTCCAAGGAATTTGAATGGAAGGGGCATTACTCTTGATCCTGTCCTTCCAAAGTTCCTGCCTAGCCGCTGTCTAAGTCGATGATTTCGCAGCTTAGCGACACATCAGACTGAAATGCCTATCGTCCGTTGAATAGAGAGAATGAAAAACGTTTCTGTGAAGAAATAGGAACGAGTTGTTGGAGTTGAGAATAAGCGATTCACCACAAGGAACGAGTCTGACATCGCACCACTGGAGCTCCAACATTGATCAACGTCCAGGTATCTAACGAGTTTCCTCTCGTCTTGGCTATTCTTCAGTTGGTTGTTTTCTGAAGGACGGCAGGCGCAAAAAGGGGTCTGATTTTGGTGTCCCAAAAATCACGCACGGGATTTCGTACAAATTCGGGTCTGACACCAAATCAACTCAATACTTCAGCAATCTCGCCTAATGACAGTCTATGCGCGGCGAGTGGAATCATGCGAAAGCGCGGAGGGCATTTTTCATGGAAGTTCCGATTCTAGCCAGCAGTTGTTCACACAAGGGCTCAATTATCTGGCGTCTCGATTTTCTTCTGGACGTCCAACTGGTCAGCGTAACTTTCGTCCCTTTTCAGTAATGTCTCATGCTCATAGTCCTTTCTTGAACAGCCATCTGACCTTGTCGATCTCGATTGCGCATTTTCGGCAAAGGTTGCCGAAACCATCGTCAATTATAAATTGTACTTGTCCGTCTCCACCCATAAAACGAACAAGATGATTTCAAAAGGAAAGAAGGGCGGGCCTCTCTTTGGTGCCACCGCCAGCCCCAACTGATGCACCCACCCTGGCCTTGTTCAGCTGCAGCCTGGTAATGGTCGCTTTTGGAACTCGTTTATAATTGTACGTTTTCACCGGGTGCTTATTGCTGCTCTCAACCACCACCACCACATCACCACCATCACGTTCTAAACTTCACCTCCACGCGATTACATCGCAACCACATGTGGCGCTGAGAAGACAAGGTTCTAATTACATGTCTAACCGGTGAATACGACAGCAAGAACTCATCCAACCGCCATGAAAAACATCATCTGGAAGCTGCTCAAGCGCAACGGCAGCTCCATACGGCCGCTTCATGTGATGCGCTACCGGTTTTACGGGACAGGCACATCGTCATTTCAGAAAATTATTCCTGTTTCACTTTTATGAGATTGCAGTATCCCACTAGTTTCTCAAGTCTGACGGTTTTTGGCACTCAGAACTGTGAATGAGATTTGAAAGTGATTTACGGTATAGCGCTCAATAAACGAAGGGAAATGAAGAATGGACAGCACAAGGTACCCTCTGTTCCAAAAAACCAGAAGCGCGTCGAGTGCAGACCACACACCACAAGTGACGACGGCCTCCAAGTAAATCTGGTAACTAGTGATTCATAGGATAGAGTTGGTAAATGATAGCTGTAATTAGGACAGTAATTGTAGTGACAACTGATAGAATACAACTGCAACAGGCTAATCATTCATTGGCAGAAAACATTTACATTTTGTGGAGGCCGTCGTCACTTGTGGTGTGTGGTCTGCACTCGACGTGCTTCCAGTTTTTGAAAAGGTGTACAAGGCAGCGAAACTATCTAGGCAATAAGTCAGTGCACTAATCGTGCATGTACTTATCCACAGCGCTACCTAGGTCTATGGTTACGATAACTTGGCACCGTAAAGGCGCATTACCTACCCAGGCCCTACCCATTCTCACACGCTTTCATTGGTATATTTAGGATAGCTTGGTAACACGAAGACAAGTATGGCTAACCCGGTTAAGCGACCTAAGTAATGATTTTTAAGTAAGGAAATTTGATATGTATCATATTTCTTTTCTAACTGTTTGGAATGTTTTTCTTCCTATGCAGCTCGAGAAAGGATCTCGGTTGTAGTTTTAGGAACTCACTTTCCTCGAAAAGGCGATCCAATCGGCCTACCCGAACGGGCGGTGAGGTTGAATTCTGTCTCTCTCT